AGTCTTTATTTCTCAAGTGAAATAAAAATAAAATTGCAGCGAGAGTTGTTACTGTGATGTGTCTGAGTCACTAGGAGAATTGCCAAGTCCCTCTCCTCGTTTCCTACCTGGACAGAGCCTGCTTTTCTTCATGCACACACACACACGCACACACAACTGCAGGAAGAAAAGGCCTGACTATTGCCAAACCTCAGGATCTGTCAGCAGAGAGGGAGGAGGGGGAAGAGGCCCGGAAAGACACCCCTCATACTAGCTTGTCCCCAATGTGACTTCCCGGTGCGGGAAGGGCGTTACAGATCTGCTCCAGTTTACAGACAGGGAGCAGCAAGGAGAAGTGTGCTGAGCTGGTGACAGAGCTGAGGGAAGGGTAGGCCCCCTGACGCGTGGTCCTGTGCTCTGAGAGCTGCCACATGGTCGGGGTGGTCACCTGGAAATGCTTCTTAGCGGGACCTGAACGAGGTGAACCCTCCATTCCCCTGTGTGCAGTGCACATTCCCAGAACTAGAAAACCCTTTCAAAAACCTCATTCATTTTCTTTGCCCAAATCACCACTAAAAATGTGCCATTAGTGCTTTTGGCCCAAAGTGCCTATTTTCCTGTGAGTTTTGCTCTCCTGAGATGGGAGGTGGGGGAGTACCTAGCAGAGCCAGTGCTTCTGGCGAGGTAAAAGGGGTCGGAGGGCAGGAAGGTGAAGGCCACAGATCTGTTAAAACATTCACAGTATCAGATAGAGCTGAGCAACTTCTTAATCTTTGATCTAAAGAATCTCCAAAAAGAAAGAACAGGAGGGAGGAAGGAAAAGCAATACCACATTCTTGGCAGAGGTCTCTGCTCCCCCAAACCACCCTCCGCAAAGGGACAGGGGCTCTGCTGGGTCTGTGGATCGGGGCAGCACCCTGCCCGACATTCCTGTGAAGTCACATCATTGGCTCTGAGAAAGGGCTGGTTTTTAAAGTTTCTACTGTCGCCCAAAGGGTATAAAACGAGGGGAGAGCAGGGCAGCCCCACGCAGCTGGCTTTGGCCCCAACACAGCGGACAGTCTTTGGAGGCTTCCAGAAGAATTCTGTGGGCCCTGTCAGCATCTGGGTTGGAAACCAATGGGGAGAGGCTGGGCTGAAGGGGTTACAAACCACCCCATAAAAAACCAAAAAGCTCTTTAAAAACAGTTCGTAGAGTGAAAAGTTGAACAGTTCTAGTATCACAATATAGAAAAAGGTATTCAAAAGGTCAGTGATGTCTAAAAGACTCTGTTGGTATAAACTCCAAATAGAAAATGAAATTAATTTTCTGGTGGTTTAGAACCTTGAAAGTCTGAAGTCTGACTATTGCAGGTTAGCTTCTTTGCCGTTTCTCTGGTTTTCTCTTGGATGGGAGACGGGCAGGGAGTCGGGGGTAAGTGATTCCTAGAGGAAAGAAAAGCAAAGTTGATAAATCCTGCAGGGAGACTCACCCAGTCCCAACACCAAGTTCTTGTGGCCACAAGTAATCATCAAGGCCCAGTCCTGACTGGTGATGGATAGCATCTTCCAGTCATTTGTAAATCACTTTTAGGCATGAGTTTATCTGGATCCCTGTCTCTCAAAAAGCAGCTACCCTGCTGCCAACTCTCTCGTCTGCTGCGAGAACCTCAGTCGTTTCTCCCTGTCCCCCAGCCCCTCCGTCTCCAGGCAGCCTGGCCCCGTCTTTCTTGGTTTTGTTCTCTGGCTTTTCTCCGTGAGAGCAGAGAGGAGAAGGGGAGGTGCGCAAGGTGGAGCAGCAGGGACTGCATGAAGATTCAGGAGGTGGGTGGGGTTTGCTTCCACATTTGGGGTATCGCCTCCAACCAGCACTGCAGGCACTAAGGGCGGGAGGACACAGGAGACCTGGCTGCTTTAGTTGGAGCCAAATACTTAATAACCTCCTATGTCGCCCTCGTCAACCTCTCCTCTGCCTTCACTGTACCCAGCTCCAGGGTGGACGCCTCTGGGGGGATGGCTCCCAGAGTGGCCAGGGTTCCTGGTCAGTGCTCTCTGAGGCTGGGGAGGGAGCACCCTCCACTGCAGCAGGAATAGCCCCTACCTGAGCTCATTCCTCAGAGATTTCAGTCTCCTGATGGACGACCACCTTGGTCACTGACATGTCCGGGTGCTGCTCCTTCGCCTCCTTGATGGCCTGCACCAGGACCTGCGGAGGACAGAAAGGGCACCCATCAGGCAGGAAGCAGCTTGGCCAGTGAGGTAAGGTCACAGGACAGCATTTTCCTGGCAAATTCCATCCTGTCTGCAGCACCAGGGCAGCATTCAGGCTAAGCCAAGCTGATGATGACCGTCTCCACTCTCTCCTGCACAGGGAGGCTCCTGGACTAAAGGCACAGACAGGGAGGGTCAGAGCATCTTTAAGGAATCAGAGAGGACTTCAGGGGTGAAGGCTGCACCTGCTGGGTGGGTCTGGGAGGATCCACTCAGAAGTGAGTCTAAAGGACAAAGCAAAATCTGTGTTCAGCAAACGGTGCCTGGGAAGTTCAGAACAGGAGAGGAAAAGGAAGACGCGTGCTACCAAAAGGAAGAGGTGGCTTTGGCTAAAGGAGGGAGAAGACAGGAAGAGCGGGAGGGCCTAGTTCCATGCCATGTACTAGCCTAACCACATTACTTATTTTATGTAGTTAATCTTCACAACAACCCAGTGCACGAGGGTGGAATCATTATTTCCCTTTTATAAACAAGGAACTGAGGTTCAGTGGTTAAAGTGCTGAACGTTTCACAGCTAGTAAGTAACGCAACAGGCGTTTTAACTCAAGTCCATTGGACTTTCCTCTTTACCACACAGTTTTTCAGATGGGGGGGCTGTCTAGCATCTGAAGGGGTTTGATCATTTCAGGTGAGCTAGAGGGAGCAGAGGGAAAGAGCAATGAAGCCACTACTCTCCTTGGGCTGCAGGTCTCAGCCTTTAGCCTTGGAGTCTGGTGGCACACCAATTCTCAGAGAAGTGCTCCCCTCCCCCATTAAAAAGGACTCTAGCTAGATCTGACCAGCTGACTGCTGACCCAGCTCTTAAGAACCATCTCTAAGCCTGGCTGGTGTAGCTCAGTGGTTGACCGTCGACCCATGAACCAAGAGGTCTCGGGTTTGATTCCTGGTCAGGGCACATGCCCGGGTTGTGGGCTCAATCCCCAGTAGGGGGTGTGCAGGAGGCAGCCAATTGACATTTCTCTCATGCATTGATGTTTTTCTCTCTCTCTCTCCCTCTCCCTTCTTCTCTAAAAATCAATAAGAAAATATATATATATTTTTAAAAAGAACCGTCTCTAAGCCTTGGCTGGTGTGGCTCAGTTGGATGAGCATCATTAGGGCACCAAAAGGTTGCCAGTTTTATTCCCAGTCAGAGCACATGTCCGGGGTTGCAGGCTTGATCCCCAGTAGGGGGCTTGTGGGAGGCAGGCAATTGGTGTTTCTCTCTCACATTGATGTTTCTCTCTCTCTCTCCCTCTCCCTCCCCCCACCCCCTAAAAATCAATAAATACACTTTTAAAAGAACCATCTCTAAGATGGAGCAACAGGGGAAGAAGGGAAATCCTCTTTTGATCTTTTTTTTGGTTAATCCTCACCCTCCTTGACCTCTTTTTGCTCAACTCATCTGCTCATGCTTCAAGGCCCAGCCCTCGCCCTCTCTTTGGTTACTCCGGCCTTCACCTGCCTCTTTATGAAAGCCTGCATCACACAGCTTCTCCTGAATAGTCCTCCTGAAAGTGCTCCCGCAACCCATCCAGGGGGCACACCTCCTTTCACGTAGCCCTCAGTACCTAGAGAACCGCGGGACCCGGAGCATCTCTCTGAGCTATCAAGTGTGCTTGTCCCTTTGTCACAACAGCCCTGAAGAAACCTCCGATTATCTTTATTCTATAGAAAGGGAACCACATCTCAGAGAAGTAAAATCATCTGCGCAAGGGCAGACACCCAGTGAGCTCTGGAGTCAGGATTCAACCCAGGTCTATCTCACCCTGAGCCCCACGCACTTTCTCTGCCCGCCGCTCTTGCTGTCCAGCACAGACTGAGCGAGCACAGAGTGGGGGCCCAGATCACATGAGACTGAGGAGGGGTGCAGGCTGGTGATGCAGCAGGATCCACTGAGCTGGGGCAGACAGGCTGCAAGGCCTCCCACTTGGGTGAGCAGCCTTGCTGCTGGGACCCTGAGCCCAGCATTCTTAGCTGTAAGTCTCAAGCCTGCTACCAAGGGAACAGCCGGCACTCAGCTCAAGTTTTCTTTTCTTTTTTTTTTAAGGCACTCAGCATATCAGCATAGAGGCCACAGCATCACTGCTCCGGCGCTCCTGTCAATGATTCCAGAAGCATCTGCACGCAGTGTCTTCCACCCCCTCTTCTCTGCAGCATTAGTTCTAACCTCACTGGCAGAGAATTGGGAACATTAATCCTGACCTTATTATTTGCTAATTGCTTGTAGCACACAATTAGCACCTAATTAACATAAAAACATAGAATTTAGCTCTCAGAAAGGCCCAGAAATTATCTAGATCAACGTACTCTTTTAGGAGAGGGAAAAAAAAAAATCAGAGTTAAAGTGATTCGCCCGAGGTCACACAGTAAGTCAGTGATAGATCTAGGGCAGAAATCAAGTCCGGTCTCTGTCCCCCTAGTTGTCTCCTCAGCTACGACAGCCCTGAGGGTAGAGGTCACACCTTCCTTTTGCTTTGCTATCACCTGCTGTCCCTAGCAGAGGCTTAGGACCCGATATCCCCGCATAGCAACAGCTCCAGTTACTTGGAGCCCACCATGTGCCACATGCTGTATCTCACTTCAGTCTTACAACCTTGGGAGGAAAATGCCATCTTATAGATGAGGAAGCAGAAGCCTGGGGAGTTGAGAGCTAGGATTTGCTAAGACCTAGGATTTAAACTCAGCTGTTTGGAGTCTGAAGTCCATTTCTTCCTATTACACCTCCTTGCTTCCCCAGTCTACGGCCCCCGCCCACAGCCTCTGTGATCTGATTCCCTCTGTCTTTCTTCTTGCGTAAGAGCGACAGTAGCTGAGGGGGCTCTTTGGAGGGGAAGCTGGCAGAGGTGTCTTTTGCATCCATCAGTCTTCCTGCCCAGGACCCCTCCCATGCCCAGGGTCTCCTCAGCATTCCCACCTGGTCATGGTCAATATCGGCATCTCCTGTGATCACAATTCTCTTTTCAATCCGGGTCTCTGATATCCCACCTTTGACAGTCTGAAACCAAAGGGAGGGGGTCATATGAGAAAGAAAGAAAAAGAAACAGCAAGAGATTATTCTGAAAGTTCCACTCTAAATTTTAATCTGCTGCTAGGTACTGGATAGGATAGCTTCTCACCTACTTGTCCAAAATCTTGGCCGAACCTGCTAAATGAACACACCTCTATCCCTTGGGTTGCTAAAATCTTCAATAAGTTAAACCGAAAGTCAGAATTCTCTAGTTGTTTATTTTCCCCTTTTTCTTTCTCATAAATACCACAGAAATTCAGTGAGTAAACAAAATAGATCTATTTTGTTTCTTCATTACTGTATATTTTATTTGACTGTTTTCAGGAGGGGAAAAAAAATCAGAAGACTGACCAAGAGTCTCACACAACTTGAAATTGGGTTCTTTACTTTAAAGCATTTTCATATTATTGATGTCAAAAGGGCCTCAAATAATCCCCTCAGCGTGGCTTGGTTTCCCGACTTGACACATGAAGAAAACCAAGGTCTAGGTATGCTAAGTAACTGGCTTCCAGTCATCCGTGTGTTGATGGCAGAGCCTGGTCAGAAATCTAGATTTCCTGCTAATAAGAAAATGCATTTTCTTCCAGTGCTACAGCAAACATGGCTTGTCCCCGACTTCCCGAGAGCAGTCCCAATGTTAGACAGGTTGTCCCTCTTGCCCCCGTAAGCACTACTGTGATAATTCCAGTATTTCAGCATCCAAACCAGGGGTCCTCAAACTTTTTAAACAGGGGGCCAGTTCACTGTCCCTCAGACCGTTGGAGGGCCGGACTATAGTTTTAAAAAAAACTATGAACAAATTCCTATGCACACTGCACATATCTTACTTTGAAGTAAAAAAACAAAACGGGAACAAATACAATATTTGTATTTGCATGTGACCTGCGGGCCATAGTTTGAGGACCCCCTGATCCAAACTCTAGTTCCCATAGCCCTGATCCTGGACATGACATAAAAATTCCTTGCTGGACCCCAAGTTCTGATTTCTTGGCTTGGAAAATATGTTTGCATTATAATACCAACAAACTTGCCCTTAAACTGACTTTTTAAACTTACCTCCACTGCCAGATAAGAGACTCACTAATCAGAGAGACAGACGGATGTGAAAAGAACAACCACATGTGACTTATGAGACTACTAAGTAGGTGGGGGTACTCTCAGGGTCTCTTCAGATTTACTCCTGGGGAAGCAGCAGGTCCTTCCACCTGGGACACTTGGCATAATTTGGCTCAAAGGGGATGGAGCAGAAAACCCTGGTTTATGGACCAGGGTCGTTCCTGCAGAGAGGCAGTGAGCTTGCTGCACCACCGGATTCCAGCAGGAAGCACTGGCTGGTCTGTTACCTTGGTAATCTGAGTGGTGGTGGTGCTGCTGGTGGTCTCAGAGGTGATGGTCTGAGCTGTCAGCAAGACTCCTGGGTCCAAGTCCCCATTGCTCTCGTCAGTCTACAGAGGGGAAGGAAGCACAATCCGTCATTATGCCTCAAAGGAAGCCTGGTGGGCAAATGCAGGATGCAGTTTTGCTCTTTAGCTGTCCATTCTAAATCAAATCCCCCGATTCCTTTACAGTGATCTCTTAATAAATCAAATTTTAAAAAATACCCTGGCAACATGGCTCCCTCTAAAAAAGTTGGAGGGGCCCAGTTTCCCTTAGCATTGGGTCAGTAATAAGGGTAGATCAGAAAGAGGAGGCAGCGTGTAGCCGTAGGTTCAACGAGAGTAACAATAACTACGCACTGTCACAATCTTCCTGATGCTCACACAGCCCCATGAAACAGTTCAAAGGGCCGAGGTTTATACTCCCAGGTAAGAAAACTCAGGCTCACAGAAGGGAATGACTTGCCCGCAAACTCAAAACCAGTGAGTGGCAGTTGTCCTCTCTACAGATCTGGAGCTCTTTATACACAGCACCCAGAACAGGAAAGGTGCAGGCTCCTGGCTGCTAAGACATGGGTGGGTTCTGAATCATAGGGAGAGCTTTCCAGAAAGGCCCGGGAAAGGCCAGGGAACCTCAGGCTATCTTCTTTGAAGATGGAGATGGGAGACTGGAATAAATGAGGTAGGAAATGTCCATTTAAGGCAAAGTGTAAGGAGATATAGACACTATCTCAAAAACATTTCTGTTAACAACTCTGTTATTGAAATGGATCCTCCTTACTATAGGAGGGATTTAAAAGTATTCAGGCCCTGGCTGGGTAGCTCAGTTGGTTAGAGCATCGTCCCAATATGCCAAGTTTGTAGGTTCAATCTCTAGTCAGGGCACATAAAAGAAGTAACCAATGAATGCATAAATAAGTGGAACAACACATCGATATTTCTCTCCTTCTCCCCCCCTCTAAATTAAAAAAAAAAGTATTCAAAATACAGTTCATCTATATGGAGAACAGGGCTGGGCTACTTCTTGTTTCTCTGGAGCTCACCACATTATGAGAAAGACAAACATTTTGTGACCAGGCTGAGAAATGACATTAGCAAAAAGGAAGAGGGATGGTTGGTAGGGGCCAAACTCAACTTGATGAAAAGTTAGGGCCTTTAGACTCAGACCGGCTGATTAACCCACAATCATTATGGAAACAAACAAGACTAGGAAGACAGAGGCTGCCTAGAGCAACATGCTTTTCAGATGATAATGATCTAAAATACCTGGTACTGGCATTGCACATTGTCTCAGAAAGGAATTTAGAGAATAGCAATTATTTTCACAAAAAATCCTGAAGCAAACATGTGTTAGGCCACTATCTTTCTTTGCCACTTTATACAAGTCATCTGTATTATAAGCAGAGGCCTCCAACCTTTTTATGAGTAGGACTACATTTTATTAAGGACTACATTTTATTGAGATATGGGGTGGGGGATCAGGTGGAGGAAGGAGAAGAATTCCTAGCTGGGTTCCCTTCCAAGTAGGAATTTAGACAAGACAAAGAGAAGGAACGTGGTCATGTCACCTAAGTCTCACACATATGGCACTATCATACTGGGTATATTATTGGCTAGTTCGCTGATACTTTTTTCAGCCCAGACCCTTTTATCTACCTTAGATTCAGACTTAACTAATATTTACTGCACTCCTACTATGTGCCAAGCACATAATGCAACTGTTATCTCAATTACCCTTAAGTAGGTCCTATTATATACTAACTGTATATAGTTAAGAAAACTGAGGTCGAGAGGTTAAGTAATTGGTCACAGTTCTATAGTTAATAAGCATTTGAAATGAGACTTAAAGCACGAAACTTCTTGTTTGAAGACTGAGGTTTGGGTCCCAGCTCAAATAACTGAGCAAGTTAGTCTGACTCCTCTGAGTTTTAGTTTTCCCATTTACAACAGGTAATACTGTAGTAAGTGCTCTGTTTCCACCATAGCACTGTTTTGAAGGTCAAAAGAGATTACAGAAATAATTTTATAAATTGTTATATGAATATAAATTTGCATGCCAGGAGAGCTAACCCTTTTTATTTTTTAAATTGATTTTTAGAGCGAGAGGAAGGGAGAGGGAGGGAGGGAAGAAGAAAGGGAGGAAGGGAGGGAGAGAGGAAAAGAGGAAGGAAGGGAGGTGGGGAAGGAGGGAGGGAGACAGAAACATTGATTGGCTTCCTTCTGCACAGGCCCAGACTAGGAATCGAGTTGTATCCTGGGCATATGCCCTGGCCGGAATAGATCTGGCAACTGCTCAGTGCACATACTGATGCCCAACCAACACCTGAGCCACACCGGCCAGGGTGGGTAAACCTTTTTAAAGAGCTCTTCCTCTACTAAACCTGTGGCTTTTTTTCTACCTTCCCTTGAACCCCTTACTCCTCCCTTTCTGTCTCTGACGGAGGTGGAAGACAGAGGAGACATTGTTAGGATTTCCAGTTCATACTCTTCCCACATCAGGCTTCTTTTCTTTGATCCTCTTACCAATGTTTCCTCAAATGGTTCTGTGGCTTTGACAGTTGCTTATAAAGGTAAACATCCATTTATCCCGTGACCCGGCAATTCCACTCTGAGGTGTTTACCCAAGATAAGTGAAAACACACGTCCACAGAAAGACTTGCACACAAAGGTTTCTAGCAGCTTTATTCATATTTGCCCCAAACTGGAATCAACTCAAATGTCCACCAACAAGTAAAAGGATAAACAAATTGTGGCATATTCACCCAATGGAATGCTATTCAACAACAAAAAACAGTGAACTATGGATTCATATAACATGGATGAGCCTGAAAAACATGTTCAGACACAAAAGTGTACTATTTCATACTCTATTTATTTGAAGTCCAAGAACAACTAAGCTATGGTGATAGAAATCAGAATAGTTGCTAGAGGGGTAGGGACTGACTAGAAAAAGTTATAAAGAAGGGAGTGATGGAAATGTTCTATATCCCAAATATGTCTTGGTGACACAGGTATATGTTTGTCAAAGCCAATCAAATGCAACACTTAAGATCTGTGCATTTCACTGGATGTAAATTTGACCTCATGCACACACACATGCACATATACACAAACAGTAAAACCCTATTCTGGCTCCCTATCTCCTCTCACCCTGTTTCCCAACATGTAGAATTGTAGAAGAATAACAAAAAGATTCCTGGGCTTACTCGGCTGGCAATAAAATAAAAATAGAAGTAGAAATACTTATAACAAATAAACAATTATAATAGCCAAAAAGTATCTGGTGCTTATGTACAAGGCACGTTTTTCTACAGAATATTTACACCGTTTTTGCACTGTGCTTTCTCATTTATCAGTTTATCACGTAGTCTATTCCCATCAGAAGCTTTTAAAAATAGCTGCATAGACTTACCTTCATTGAATGTACCATAATTTATTTAACCTGTTTCCCACTGATGGGCCTTTCGGTTGTTTCCATGGTAGTGACAACGTAAAGGGCTCCCTCCCATAAGCAAGTAACTCTTTCCTACATCCTCTGGCTAATTGTGTGCACAATCTTAAAGTCATTTCCTATTCCTTCCTTTTTAGTCCCCTTCACTGCCAAGTCCTATTCATTCTCTCTCTCTTTCACATGTCCTCAGGCTACACTTCA